CTACATAGCTTTCTCTGCTGTGTAATTAAAATACTACATTATTCTGCATGGTCTTTGTCAGTTTGACCTGCTACCAAATGCAGATGCCAAAAAGGGGCTGAAAATGATGCAACACTTCAACTTGAATTATGTTTAATGACAAATTTATTAATGACATTTACTTCCTCTAACACAATGACAACACTCGAACGGTGCAAATTTGTACATTTTCACAAATCTAAACTCAACCTGTTCACAAGCGACAAGTGAAAAGTGCATAAGTAATAGTGCATTAATAGAAATACTTGACAGTTTCTTAAATTAAAAATTAAATTAAAACCGAAGCCTTTTATGTCGGTGTGTTATTTTGATGGAATGGCTAATATGCGATATTTAACGTTATCGCTAATATCGGTCGATACCGATACCATGCCAATAATATCGTGCATCCCTAAAATTTGTATTCGTCTTTAAAAATACTTTATAAATTTGAGGACCTCACAATGTCTGGTTTGTTTAATTGTCCAAAAATGTAGAGAAAACTTTATAATTTGCAAAATGTAATGCCTTTCTCTTTTTTAATAAATTGGCGAGGTTTACATTATATGACTTTTCCACGGGGGGGCGGGGGGGGGGGACTGTAAATTTGAAATAAATCTAAATGCTTTTCCTCTGTATTCTTGAGTATTTATTTATTTTTAATAAAATGTGTTATGAATTTAGGAGTTTTGTAATATCTGGTTTATTATGCTGTCTATAAATGTGATGGAAAAGTTGCAATTTAGAAAAATAAACCAAAACATTGAATTTATTTTACTTTTTTCTTTTGTATTTTTAGTAAGTTAGTAAATAAAAATACATTTAACATGGTTTGATTTGCTGTTGTCCCACAAAAATGTATCAAGGGGGAAAAAATTACTGTAAATTTGCTATTAAAGTCAAAGGTTTTCCTCTTTATCACGGTTTTAAATTTACAAACACAGTTTGGTTCGTACATTATCCAAAAAACTATGCAAAAATAAAAACTTGTAACTTAGAAATTGAATTACAACTAATTTTTCTTAGACAGAAAACAATTTCCCAGAGAAGAACCTGACCCTGCTGGAAGCCCCGAGCAGTGTGTGTGGGCGGTCACCATTGATCCCCTCAGTCACAGAGCAGTTGTTGTTGGACCAGAAAGCTTACCTGGCAACAACAAGCCGGCTTTACCACCCTGATGCTGCTGTGCACTGAAGTGGAGACAACTGAGAGCTGCTCCATCGATTCCTTGTATCTTCATCCCACCTAATGACTTTTAAAATATATTTATTTAACTCATGGAGCTGCAGGCCGAAGGATGGAAACAAAGAAACAACATGTGATGGAAGGTATTTGGACATTATGTGCATGAATGTAAAGGATCTTAATGAGAGGAGCCCTAAAGAGAAGGAAGGATTTGAAAATTCTCCAGTGCCAAAACACCCAACGCAATTACCATAAGCTCTCAGTTATAGCAGAATGAAGCTATTTTCAGACTCCTGCGCGGCACACAGGAGAGTGATAAACCAAGATTATGCAGCACACACATCCTGGCTGCAACACAGACGAATGTTTCAAAGATCCCTCTCTAGAGAAACTATGCGAGCCACAGGTGAATGCACAATATGAGCTCATGAGGACGCTGCTCCCCGCTGGTCATGTTTCCCCTCAGGCTAAGTGGAAGGAAGCAACGGTGGTCTTCACTGAGAGGCTCATCTGCCAATCACAGCCTCCCCCTTATCAGTGGGAGCACCCTGACAGCAGCAGAGCCTTTCTCCATCACTGAGCACTGAAAAAAAAAACACTGATCCTCAGTCTAGACCTCCTCCTCGCCTCCACACAGCTTAAATAAAATAATGCCACAACAAATTCACAGCGAGCATCTTAAACTCTAACAACTCGGTCCACTTTGTTAAGCAATTACTCTTCAAGCGGCTGCAAATCCATCCATGTTCTGGCTCTGATCTGCATGTCGGCACGCCTCCCC